AAGGGAGACCCTGGGGGAGAGCTGCCTAATGAGTTCAGTCAACTCCTGGACCCATGACAGAAGGCAGTATGTGATTGTTGTTTGAAGCCATTGCATTTTGAGGTGATCCCTTATCCCGTGATAGGTAACTGGAGCAGGACATCAGGCGGGACATATGGGAGCAGATAGTCTAGGTAGGTAAACAATGGGGAGAAAGAGGAGAAAGTGGAGAGTTTCTGGATGGAGAAAGAGGGTTGGAGAGTTTCTGGATGGAGAAGTAGGGTGCGATCGCAATAAGGAATTTCCCCACCCACCACATCCAGTAAAAGAAACCCTCACCTTTCTGTATTGAATCAGCATGCATACCTCTACCAGTCTATTATATATTCTTTGCATAGCTATTATCTGGCTAGAACGGATTATTTTCAGCAGAATTCTTCGCAAAAGGAAATTTATCTTGAGATGAGGCTACTTGAGGCCTGGGAACACTTGTATTTTTATAGTGAGTTAAGAAAGGATTTATTGCTCTCCTGACTCCACTCTTCTACCCAACTAACCTACCAGGCAGAAACAGCCCTGGGTACCCCCTGGGCCATAACATGCCAGCCCCGAGATGACCACAGCCCCACACACTCAGCTCCTCCTCCAAGCAACTTTCAAGATCACAGAGCAGAAAAAAGCCAAGTTGCCTGAGTTTAAAAGGAAATGCTGGGATCTGCATTTCTGAGGGAAGGAATTGCTTGAGCCAAGATGTGTGAGCGAGGGGCTTTCTGTGGTGGTGGGGAGCCTGCAGCTGTGGGGCTGGGAGAAACCAGAGGGGATGGCTGCCTGGCTAAAGAAAACTGAGAAAGGGTGTGGAAGAAGTAAGCAGTGGGGGGCGATTGCTGGAAACCATTGCCCTCAAATTCATTGACTTTTTGCCATGTTGATATCACACTGAATTGTTTGGTAACTACAGATGTGTTGTGTATGTCTCCCTAGAGAATAACCAAGCACTGTGAATAAGGGAAGTTGCTGAAACGCTATTCATTTTATAGACTGAGGCTCTGCTAGGACTTTCCCAAATAGATTTATTAACAAATATCCCCTATTTGTGAATTTTGAAATATTTCTAATTATAGTTTAATCTCTGTAAAGTACAAATACCATAAATATCAGTTTTATGATGTCACCGAAAAATTTAAGTACAAGGGTGTAAACCATTTTCTTTTTCTAAAAAAAAAGAGGAGAGTTATCATTTACTTCCTATCATTTTAGCTCAACAGACTTAGTTTTCAAACTAAAAGAATAAAAGGATATAAAGTTGCCTTGCCTAAATTAGGAACTCAACAGCTATTATGCATCACAGCAGTCACCAAAGACCATAGGGTCCTCAAACTTATTTGACCTTATAGCATGTCGTCTCACTTTCTGTAAGCCATGGACTGACATACTTTTTCTGTAAAGGGCCAGTTGGTAAGCGGTTTAAGCGTTGCGGGCCATCTGGGTCTCTGTCACACTATTCAACTCCTTGAATAGTTTGCCATCATAGTGCCAAAGCACTTATTAACACCATATAAACAAATAAACGATATAACCATTTGTAAACACTGAAAGTTGAATTGAATACAACTTTTACACGTCAAAAAATAGTAATTTTGCTTTGATATTTTTCAATCTTTTAAAAACAAAAAAACAATCTTAATTCCTGAGCTGTACAGCAGGTGGGATATAGCCCGTGGACTGGACCATGGTTTGCCAACCCCAACCCTAAACTTTGGTAAGCTTTGGGGATATACATTATTTATTCTTGGGGTACAAAGGGATTGGCTGGTTAATCTGTAATGATGATTTTTAATTTTAGTACAGCCTTTCAAATTTTTAAATAATCAGATTGTATTAATACATGGATTACTTAATGACCCTTTTTTTTAGCCATAAAGAAATTTGCTATAGGTTAAGAGCAGAAAAACATTTTTACTTTTAAATTTGCTGAACTACTATTCACATTTTGGGAGATGTTCCCTTCTACTAGTAATCTCCCATGCCTGCATCTATTTCACATGGTGAGAAGCATTTTAGTAATAGCCCAAGGCTTTGTCAATAGAAAAATTTGGCTTTAAATCCTTGTTCTGTCACATAAGAGCTCTCTGACTTTCACAAATCACTTGACCTCATGAACCTCTGATTTGCTAACTGTAAAATGGTTATAAAGCAGGAATGTCGAATGAAACTAGAATATGCAACACATGTGTTTATGTAAACCATCATCACAGATTGCCCAACATTTAGTAAGCATCTAATATTTGTCTAGCAGGTGTAGTAAAAACATCACGAATACACGGCACTTATCAATTTCTAGCTTGCTTTCTTCATTTAACGTTATACCATGAGTACTTTCTTAGGTCATTCAATATTCTTTTAAAAAACATGATTTGATGATTATATAATATTCCATTTAATGAGTATACTACAGTTAATTCACCCTTCCCAACACAGGACATGAGTTTTCCTTTTGGCCTGGCTGCACAGACTATCTTGGTGAATAGTTTGCCATGTCCATGATCACTTCCTTTTTAAAAACATATTTTACTGTTCATTTTGTTAAGTTCTGGGGTACGTGTACAGGATGTGCAGGCTTGTTACATAGGTAAACATGTGCCATGGGGGTTTGCTGCATCTATCAACCCATCACCTAGGTATTAAGCCCCGCATGCATTAGCTCTTTTCCCTAATGCTCTCCCCCACCACAGTGCATGTTGTTCCCCTCCCTGTGTCCATGTGTTCTCATTGTTCAGCTCCCACTTATAAGTGAGAACATGTGGTGTCTGGTTTTCTGTTCCTGTGTTAGTTTGCTGAGGATAATGGCTTCCAGCTTCATCCATGTCCCTGCAAATGATATGATCTCATTCCTTTTTATGACTGCATAGTATTCTGTGGCGTATATGTACCACATTTTCTTTATCCAGTCTCATGGTCACTTCTTTAAGAACAGTTTCTAAGGTGTAATCTCTAGATCAAAGGATCTGACATATGACTCAATACAGTTGAATATTTTCCCTGTGCTTTTTTGCCTTTTGAGTTTCTCATCTTGAAAATTATTTTCATGTCTTTTCTTAGAAGAGATATATGATTTCCCCTATGTACTTGAGTAGGAAACCATCGTAATCCAACCTCACCTTTATTATGTGTGTGCTGGGCTTGGTCTAGGAAGAACAGAGGAATCTTCAGCACAGCCTTAAGAGCCACCCAAGCTCCTTAACCTCTCAAAGCCCTAGTTTCTTTACCTCTACCTCATAGGGCTACTTTGAGGCCAACATAGAATCACGTATATCTAGCCCTCAGCACGATGCTTGAGTGATCAAGAAATGTGAGCTCTCTGTGTTACTATCATTCGCATTATGCCATCCCTCAAGGGGCAAAGACAGATGTGGGCATAGGTTTGCATTAAAATAGACATCCAGGGCCAGGCGTGGCGACTCACGCCTGTAATCCCAGCACTTTGGGAGGCCAAAGTGGGCAGATCGCTTGAGGTTGGGAATTCGAGACCAGCCTGGCCAGCACGGTGAAACTCTGTCTCTGGTAAAAATACAAAAATTAGCTGGGCGTGGTGGTGCACACCTGTAATCCCAGCTACTCAGGGGGCTGAGGCAGGAGAATCACTTGAACCTGGGAGGCGGAGGTTGCAGTGAGCCAAGATTGCGCCACTGCACTCCAGCCTGGGCAACAGAGTAAGANAAAAAAAAAAAAAAAAAAAAGACATCTGAGTTTCTAAGAAATGAAACCGTAGCAGTTGTTTCCTTTGTAACATAGTAGCCGCATGGTTAATGCTTCATTAGAACTTTGACACGAAATGAGCCTAGGAGCCAACATTCAGATCTACAATGTATCTGAATTAAGTGACAATAATTTCAGAAAAAGGCCATTGATGCCTTTTTTCGACTAAGTTTTGCCATACCTAATAACTCACACTTGCATCATACCACTCGCAATGGACTTGAAAAATAGTCTATTATTTGAGCCTCACAGTGGCCCTGGAAGGCAGCTGAGGAGGGATTCTAATGACTATTTTATAGTCAGAGAAACTGAGTTTCAGAGGACTTTGATGATGTCAGGCACAAGACCCCCTCCCCCAACTGGTGACTGGGAGAGCCAGCATGACAAAGACTCTCCTTAATTCAACGTAATCAGGCTCCACTACACCCCTAGGCTTCAGCCTTTGGGCTTCATGTCCATCTTTGCATTGCCCAGTTTAAGCAGAAACCCTGCTAAGTCATTTGTTTGATAATTCACTCCTCTTGGTATGTGATCACCTTCGATATCTGATCAAATTCATCATCCCCCACCATCCCCCAGTGAGGTCTGATCACCCTGGTCTGTCTTCAGCAGGAATCCTGTCAAGTCAGTTTAGCCAGCATCCCTTTTACCCTTGATGATTCCTTTTAGTCATTTTCCATCCACTGACCTGCCCCCCCCTCCAACTCTACTCCTTGGCTAGAAATGTTTACCGGCCTTTGGCTGTATTTGGAATTGAGCCCCTTTCTATATTGAAGTCTCTTTCCGCCGATTGCAATAGTCCTGATAGTATCGCTTTATCTACTTTCCAGATTTAGTTTTCTTTGACAGCACTCAAGCCTGGGGATTTCCCGTATTTTATTTCTATGATCCTGCCCACACAGTTCCATCCACATAGTCATTCAGACAACACCATATGCTGGAAAAAGCACAAAGTAACTTCAGTAATTAAATGTAGGCTGAAGAAATGAGATCCATAGAAGCTATGTCCCCAATTCAAACATCTGCTCCTCCTTTCCAAAGCACATATTTACTTCTTGTAGGAAGCTGGACAGAGCAAGCATTGATTAATCTGAAATTGTGAAATGCCCCCTTCATTAAGGCCAGTTGTGAAATATCAGGAAGCACTTTCCCCCAGCAAATAACCTAAGTACAGATTCTTTAAGAATTGCTCTTGCCAGCTGGTTTCCGTTGTTTCCACAAAGATTACAGATAACACTTTTTAAGGATCTCTGAGTTGTTCTTACCATTTTTAGTCTTCTTCCAAAATGGAATGTAGAGGTCTGGTTGAAGAGAACAGAGCACGAGAGGTGCCAAGATCAGCTTGAGATGAGCCTAATAGCATCAACTAAGAGGAAGAGAACACATCATTTCAAAGAGAGCAAAATACTGTAGCTGAAAGACATGCTGGGATCATTGCTTCAAAATGCACTTGAAACATCTATTTATGGTATTTACTCTCTCAAAGTTAGGTAGACTGGAGACATACTCCAGAAATCCATTTCTCACATTACTGAAAGTCTAACTTTGTCTTCATTACTGAAAGTCTAACTTCATCTTCGAAGAGGGCGCATTCAAAACAGTGAGATCTGAAATGCTTTGGTAGACTGGAGACATACTCCAGAAAATTATTTCTAACATTACTGAAAATCTAACTTTATCTTCGAAGAATTGCCATTTTAGACTACCACATTTTTAATTTATATTCTAAAAAAAAAAAATTCATGCATATAATTTCGGTTCCTTCTCCTCTCCTCACCACTTCCTTATAACAGCACATACATCTACCTACTTAAATTATCGATATGTGTTCCAATGTTTAAAATACCTTTCTCGATGGCATGGACTGATCCTATATCTGGAGTCTTCTGAGATGAAGTGATAGGTGGCAGGAAGTGTAGATTCACAAAGACTCCAGGCTGCCAGCCCTGGAGTTTCCAACTAGAAAGATCAGGTGGGGGACGGAGGGAGGAGCATGGTTATTTTAGCCACCCCAGATATGGGCTTTGCAAAAGCACCAGGTTCCTCTTATTTCTACCACCACTACTGGGGCAATGACTCGTCTCAATCCAGACAGCTCTATAGACAAACCTTTCTTTTTTATAGCAGGATTTCTTGCCCTCAGCACTATTGACATTTTTGACCAGATAATTCTTTTCTGCAGCATAGGATGTTTGGTGGCATCCTCGCTCTATACCCACTAGATGCCAATAGCACTGCCCCCTTCCAGTTGTGACAATCACAGAAGTTTCCAGACATTGAAAATTATCCCCTAAGGGGCAAAAATGCCCCGGGTTGACAACCACTGTTCTATAGATATCAGAGAGGTATGTCTAAATTTACCTTGTTCTGTCTCAGGCCCAGCTGGAAAGGATGCTGGTTTTTAAACAGTGGCAAAGCTACCAGTTGGTTCGTTCACTTTTCTCTAAAAAAGTTCAGCTGCATTTGCTTCTCAAAGTGTGGGCCTCAGGAGAATTGTTCCCTTCTTAACTGATTATTGGACATGTTTTAGGTAGAGTCAAAATATGGTAGTTATGTTTAAAGTTCTTTAATCTAAGTAGTCCACCTGGAGAAAATTTGGAAAATGTAGAGTGTGGCATGGGGACATCTGTGGATAATGATCAAGGTTAACATATATTGGGCTGAAAAGTCAATGATGCGATAAAGCAGCTCAAAAGCCAGATCCAGTAAATAAGCAGCATTTATTGAGGGTTTGTTATGAGCCAGACACTGTTTTAATGACTTTATATGTATGATCTCATTAAATACTAAAAATATATAAAATAGATATTATCCATCTTTTTACAAATACTGGAATTGATAACAGAAGAAATATTGGATTTGCCTCAAGTCACATCATAGCAAGTGATACCCACACAGGCAGTAAAAACCAAATGTCTCTTTATTAAACCACTCTGCTGTGCAAAAAATATGTAAAAATCAATAGTTTTCTCATACATAAATAATTACTGATCCAAATTGGTAATAGAAGAAGTGAGATCTGAAATGCTTTGGAAGAAAATTGATGGGAAATACACAAAAACTAAGGTGGTGAGGGGAGGATGGGGACTATAATGCTTCACCTGGCAGGTGCAAGCTTTCTCTTTGCCGCACCAGGACCACTGTCCCAGCCATTCATCCTGTTCTGTGTCCCTGGAGGCTGAGCTATATGTACTTCATCAGTAGCCCCTTGCTTGCTGGCTTCTGGTTGGGTTTGGCCAATGGGAGGCCTGGGTGGAAACTGAAGGGGGAGGAGGAGGAAGAGCAGAGCCTTCCTCTCTCTGGCTCTCTCCGCCTGGCCCTGAGTTGGCTGCAATCATCTAATGAAGCTCTTGTTCCCTGATGCTCTCCTCCCTGAATTCCAGTAATCGTTCCTTCTCCTTCAGCCTGAGTTCGGAAAGACTCCCCTCTGAAGTGCTGCATCATCCTTTCTTAGTTCCTTAAATCCTGTCCAAATATATAAATAGTCACTTTGCTGAACTCATCAGTTTCTCACTCTAACATGCTGTCTGTTTCCTGCCAGGACCCTGCTTAGACACAAAGACATACATAAATGAAGAAAAATAATTGTTAATGGAGCTAGAGGCCACAACACTGTAAAAATAGAAATGTTGCTTAAATTGATTTGCAAATGCTGTACGATCCCAGTCAAATACCAATAGGATTTCATGCGATACTTGCCAGATTGATTCTGAACTGGGGTGCATTTTGGAAATCAACTGGGCCTTTTGGTTTATCACAAAGACCAGGGTTACATTATCCACAAATGTCATCTCCTTTCATATAATAAAGGGCGTATTACCAAATATTTGTTATAAAAGTGAGGTAGTGGGTCTGACTGGGATAAGACCACATGTGAGAATAGCCAGGTGATTTCTGAATGAAAATTAAAGGGGAGGATTTCTCTTCCATACTTGTAAATGCATTATAACACTGCATTGCCTACAATGGCATAGTACCAGTGCATCAATGAAACAGAGAAGAGAGCAGAATTAAGCAAAAATACATATGGGTGTTTAAAGTCACATCAATGGCAAAAGGGATTATTGGGCAAATGGCTTGGAGTTTTTAAAAAATCAAGCTATTGTCCAACCTCATTTCTTACATCAAAATAAATTTCATGAAGTTCAAAAATTTAAACATAAGACATTGAACATTAAAAGTACTGAAACTATAGGTCCATACTTTTTCTAATCTTGAAGTAGAAAAGTGGTGTGAAGTATGACAATAACAGCAAACAAACAAGGAACCAACAGCAACAATCCCAGGGTCTTAGAGAAAATATTGAAAAATTTGACTACATAAAAATAAACCACTTATCTTTAAAGTGAGGGATGAGTCTATGTGATCAATAAAGATACATCTAGGTTTTATATGGTAAGATCCCAAGAGATTATCCATTATGCATTCAGCGTATATATTATGCTTTCTTGCATGGTTATATATGGTTGTTTATTTGTTTGTTTGTTTGTTTTGAGGTGGAGTGTTGCTCAGTCCCCAGACTAGAGTGTAGTCATGTGATCTCAGCTCACTCCAACCTCCACCTCCCAGGTTCAAGCAATTCTTATGCCTCAGCCTCCTGAGTAACTGGGACCACAGGTTTGCACCATCACACCTAGCTAATTTTTGTATTTTTAGTAGAGACAGGGTTTCACCATGTTGGCTAGGCTGTTCTCAAACTCCTGACCTCAGACGATCCACCCACGTCTGTCTCTCAAAGTGCTGGGATTACAGACACAAGCCACCACACCTGGCCTGGTTATTTATGTTTGATTCATATCTTCTAGTTCCCCCAATGATATTACAGACCCCTTGAGTTAAGAATATGTTGTCCTTGGCATCCATTCTATGTGGTTAAGAGATCACTCTTTATGATGATGAAAATGAATGATCATGAAAATAAAAACAATTCAATTAATTCAGTCAATTTTCAGAGGTAGATCATTAGGCAGATTAATTGATTGAAGTGATCAGTCATCTAATTATAGTCACTAGCTGGTTGAATTTACTAGGAGTTTAATAAAGTGCAACTTGTCTGCTAGTCAAGCATTAATAAAGCCTATGTTTTCTTATTGAAAAGATACTAACTTCTTCTTGACTCAATATGGTGGATTCAATAGCCAAGTGGTAATTGATTTTCTAATAACTGATATTATATCATTCTACTTGAATTCATTTATATTAATATACCAGTTTTCAAAAGAAAATCTTTTTTCTTTCCAACATTTTTACTGAAAAAAAATTCAGATATATTGAAAAGTTGAAAGAATTGCACAATGCAGCCTGTATACTAGCTGCCTGAATTCAACAATTGTTGATAGTGAGCCACATTGGTTTTACCTTTTTGTATGTGTATGTAATGTATTTATTTCCTTAATCATTGTAATGTTGCAGACAACATAACATTTTAACCCTAAGCACTTAAGCCCGTATCTCCTGAGATAAGGATGACACCTAAGAGAATTAATAAGTTGTAATATTCTCCAATCTGGCAAGATGGCCAAATAGGAACAGCTCCGGTCTGTGGCTCCCATTGAGACCCACACAGAAGGCAGGCGATTTCTGCATTTCCAACTGAAGTACCCAGTTTATCTCATTGAGACTGGTTAGACAGTGGGTGCAGCCCATGGAGGGCGAGCAGAAGCAGGGTGGGGCATCACCTCACCCGGGAAGTACAGGGAGCTGTGGGACCTGCCTCCCCTAGCCAAGGGAAGCCGTGAGGGACTGCACTACCCAGCCTGGATACTATGCTTTTCCCATGGTTTTTGCAATCCGTAGATCAGGAGATTCCTCATGTGCCTACACCACCAGGGCCCTGGGTTTCAAGCACAAAACTGGGTGGCTGTTGGGCAGACACCAAGCTAGTTGCAGGATTTATTTTTGTACCCCAGTGGCACCTGGAACCCTAGTAAGACAGAACCATTCACTCCCCTGGAATGGGGGCTGAAGCCAGGAAGCTAAGTGGTCTCCCTCAGTGGGTCCCACTCTTACAGAGCCCAGCAGACCAGGAACCACAGCTTGAAATTCTTGCTGCCGGCACAGCAGTCTGAAATCGACCTGGGACAATCGAGCTTGGTGGGGGGAAGGGCATCGGCCATTACTGAGGCTTTAGTAGGTGGTTTTCCCCTGCCAGTGCTAAGGAGGCTGAAAGGTTTGGACTGGACAGAATTCACCACAGCACAGCAAAGTGGCTGTGGCTAGACTGCTTCTCTAGATTCCTCCTCACTGAGCAGGGCATCGCTGAAAGAAAGGCAGCAGCCTGAATCAGAACCTTACAGATAAAACTCCCATCTCCCTGGGACAGAGCATCTGGAGGAAGGCGCGGCTGTGGCCGCACCTTCAGTGAACTTAAAGTTTCCTGCCTGCCAGCTCTGAAAAGAGCAGCTGATCCTGACAAGAAGGATTCTTCCCCAGCACAGTGCTTGAGCTCTGCTAAGGGACAGACTGCCTCCTCAAGTGGGTCCCTGACCCCTGTGCCTCCTGACTGGGAGAGACCTCCCAACAGGGGTCAACAGACACTTCATACAGGAGAGCTCCAACTGACATCAGGCCGGTGCCCTCTGGGACAAAGCTTCAAGAGGAAGGAGCAGGTAGCAATCTTTGCTGTTCTGCAGCCTCCACTGGGGATGCCCAGGTGAGCGGGGTCTGGAGTGGACCTCCAGCATACTGCAGCACACCTGCAGAAGAGGGGCCTGACTGTTAGAAGAAAAACTAACAAACAGAAAGCAACAACATCAACATCAACAGAAAGGATCCCCACACAAAAACCCCAACCAAAGGTTATCAGCCTGAAAGATCAAAGGTAGACAAATCCATGAAGATGAGGAAAAACCAACGCAAAAATGCTCAAAATTTCAAAAACCAGAATGCCTTTTTTCCTCCAAATGATCACAATTCCTCTCTAGCAAGGACACAAAACTGGACAGAGAATGAGTTTGATGAATTGACAGAAGTAGGCTTCAGAAGGTGGGTAATAACAAACTCCTCTGAGCTAAAGGAGCAT